ACTGTAGTCCTATCTCTGAAGCTGATAAATATTGAACACTTAGAAGGGGAAGCGTGGTGCTGAACACATTAATGATACACGTTTGCTCATAAGCAAATGTTTAGTGTGATACTGAGGCTAGAGTGAGGCCTCTGCATTTTTACCACCTCATCGTCCTCACTGTTACCACCACCACCATCCTCACAATCATTATCAACATCATCAATATCACATCATCACTACCAGCCTAATCACCACCATATTCATCACCATCACCACCATCACCATCATAACCATCACTGTCATCACCACCATCACCACCATCACCACCACCACCTCCATCACCACCACCATCACCATCACCACCACCACCACCACCACCACCACCACTACCACCAACACCATCATCACCATGGAGTCATCATCAACCATAACACAACATCATCACTAGCAAAATCCCCAGCAGCATCACATCATCCCTTCCCCTAATCATCACCACCACCACCATCACCAGCACTGGTATCACTCTCATCGTGTTCTTCTGAGCCATCCTAAGGAAATACAGGAATATTTCTGAGTCAAGTCTCTTGCAATTTAATCAGGAAGGTAACACCACCTTCTTACACAAGGTGAAGACCTTAGAAGCTAGTTTTTGTCATTTTTCTTACTGTTTTTGCTAATTTCAGTGTGCGACTGGGCTCTGCACAAAGGCCAGTGAGTGCTTGTCAAGAAATCAAACGGTTTTAACGAGCAGGGAGAGCAGGCAGGCTGAGCAACAGGGCAAGGCCACTCAGGGCCCAGAGCTGGCTTCTGTGAGGCTGCCTAAGATTTTCCCCCAGAGCAGCACGCGCTGTTCTCGGAGATGACATTTCCACACACACAAAGCTCGGTGCTGTTCCAGTTCAGGAAGCCGGTGAGTCATGAGGCACAGGCAGGGGGAGAGGCCTGGGCTTGTTCCTTTCTTTATTATTGCTTATAGTTTTGATTAGTTCCTAAATGATTTTAGATGTACTACAGCAAAGGACTATAATAATCTCGATGCACCACCCAGGAAACCTCAAATGACTAATTGCCTTTTTTCCTAAAATGGAAGAGTTACTTCATCCACCCAAAGGTTTCACTTCCCTTTGCTATGCTTTAGCTCTGTAAGGCTTTTAATCTTGTAAGGCAGAGCCATATAAACAAACAGGGGAGGAGACAGGAGGATGAAAACTCTCTGGATTCGTCCAATTTTGAATCCCTCTTTGCAAACACAACAATACGCGGTTTGACAAAGGCTCTGGAAGGATTGTGCTTTGACCTTGCTCTCACCACTGTGTGAAATGAAATGTAAACACAAGGTGTTTTCTCATAATTAAAAGATATCGATTCCCCCAGCAGCCCAGGAGGAGGTTGAATGATCTTCCTTCTCAATGGAAGCCCATGATCCTTGTCCATATCCAGTCCTACCCAATCAGAGGAGTCCCACAATAGGCTGGGGTAATGTACTTTTGAACTTTAAGAAGTTGTATAACCTGGAAGAAATATTTTAAAAATAGACCTGTGTTATGTGTTTGCAATCCACCATGCTACTATACTAAGTGACTGCAAGATTCAGTAGTTGGAAGCAACAAAGACCTCTCTCTCTCTCTCTCTCTCTCTCTCTCTCCCTCCCCTTCCCTCCCCCTCCCCCTCCTCCTCCTCCTCTTCCTCATCTCTTCTCTTCTCCTCTCCTCTCCTCTCCTCTCCTCTCCTCTCCTCTCCTCTTCTCTCCTCTCCTCTCCTCTCCTGTCCTCTCTTTCTCATGTAACAGCCCAGTCAAGGATTGAAATAATGCCTTGATGGTCCTGGAGATCCACCTTGTTACCATGCCATCTCCAGACTGTCAGCCTTTTGATTTAACAGAGAATGACTCACTCCCACCAGCTGGAGAGGAGGACAGTAGGAAAGGAGGATGGTTCTCTTTTCAAGGGCATGACTTAAAGTGCGGACATTACGCCCACCCATGGATGGCCTCTGTCTTCGGTTCCGTGGCCACACCTTGATGCAACAGTGGCTGGAGAAGGGACCTTCGGCCAGGCCACTCTGTGTCCAGCTAAAACTACTGCTGCTACAGAGGAAATAGGCAGTGGGAGCTGTGAGGACTTCAGATGTGACATGATCAGTGGAGACAGGGTTCCTGATGTGGGCTCCCAGTTCCTGAGCCTCTTAGGTTGTGGCTGTAATGATGATGAAACTATTTTGTCTCTACTAAGTGCTTTATAAAACTATGTGCTTTATCTAACGATAACTACAAAATTAATAGTGTAATTGTTTCAGTTTTATCTGTGAAGAACCTGGGATGCATCAAGTGTAGAAACTTGCGAGAGGTCATGTGGCCAAGTGAAATCTGAGCCCCTGTGCTTCTAATGGCCAGAACTATTCTTGTAAATATCTCACTGGGCTATTAATAGTGGTCTGCTCAGCATTAGAATTTCGAAAAACTGAACAAGACTCCAACTTCTCTGGAACTAGAACCTCTAAACAAGCTAAGAAAGTTGTTTGGAGCTCTAATAATATCAATTTATAATGAGTTCATTTCATTTATCAAAGACTAATAAGACATTCTGGCTCTCACATAGACCTTGATTGATTTTTAAGAAGTAGGAAAAGCCCCGAATGCTTGTTTATTAAGCTCTGTCTAAAATAGCCTCGAGGGTGAGGGGAAGTCTCTAGAGAGGTCCCTCGTGGAGCAGAGCTAAGCAGATGAGGTGCAAAGACTGACTTCAGGCTGGGGGGCTCTGCTGGTGCTGATGGGAACTGCCAGCCAGGCACAGGCAGGCAGACCCTGGCCGTCCCTGCTAGGGGGATCTGAGACTTCCCAGGGAGGCTCCACACCACTGGATCAGAGAGCAACACGGAGCTCGGGTCCGTCTGAGGAAAGGTTCATGGTGAACAGAGTCAAGGGGAGGGCAAGTCAGCAGTGGGGGTCGCTGGCTGTCGGAAGCCCCACCCCAAATGCAGGGACCAGCAAAACCCCTGAGAGTGGGGCAAGAACCACCCCGTGTTCTTGGGTACATGGAACAGCTATTGGCCTCTTCATGCCTCTGAGTGTTAAAACCTTTGGGAAGGGAGGAGACTAGAACAGTCCTTCCCTCCCACAGACTGAGAGCTGAACACACACAGGGTGGGGAAAGGTGCTGTTCCGCCCTGGAAGCCAGCACTGGAAGGGATGCCATGACTCCACAGAAGGCGCTCCCTTCCTGAAGAGGGACTTGGCAAGGAGGTGGGACTCAGGGCCCCTTGCCGCCATGCCCACCCCTCAGCTCCTCTTTAGGCACCAAATCAGCAAATAATAGGCGCCCCATTCTTGTCGCATTCCTCCCCAGAGCAATGCTGCCAGTGGGACAGTCCAGGAAAATCCATTTGCCCATTCTTGCTGATGGTCTATCTGCTGGAGTTTGTCTCAGTTTTTTCTGTTTTTAAGTATGACAGTGAAGGCTTTTTCCCTAGATGTAAGAAGAAATGCACACCTGAATCCTAGCTGGGAAGTGGTGCTCTGAATGACACACTAGACCTTGATGTGACACCCTTACCTGGTGACTCTGTTACAGTTGTGTGCTATTCTCCCGGGGTGCGTTCTCCTGGGGAAAGTCCTTAAACACCAGCCTGGGCACCAGGTGGCAGTGCTGACAATTTGAGCTGGCCAGTGAGGCTGAAGACCAATTTCTAGTGTCTTCACCAAGCCAGTCTGTGCATTGCTTTCTGGCCAAATTTGTTTTTTAGTTTAGTCAAAAGCCAATATTTGCTAAACGTCTTCAACAATTTAAATCAGTAGTGATAGGTGAACAAGTGTCTCTGCACAGTGTAAAAGGTTTTCTGAATTCAGGGAGAAGTTGTACAGGCAACACCAACGGAGGATCCCAAGAGGTCTGGAAAGGCGGAGCCTAGACTGTATTGGGAGGGAAATGTAAATTCCTTAAATGATGTTACCAGAAGGAAACGCATCCCATGAGCAGTACAGACAGGTCCTGTGTTAACTGTATTAACTAACTAAGAACAAGTGTGGCCAGAGGAAGACATTCCTAGTAAGTGGTAAAGAAAGACAAATCAGCATGGCCCATCTAAGCCCTGTCCAGGGAGGATTCCACGCTGGCCCCCAGATTCTGAGGACCCTGTGGCAGGTTGACACAGGGGTGGTCTCAACAGGGGCCCATGAAACCCCTCAGGTTCCAGTTCTTCCCTGCCCTGGGACTTGGCTAGTACCAGCTTGAGTTCTATCAGTCGCTGATTACCATCCCCACCGTGAAAGCTTCTCCTTCTGCCTCTTCTAGCCATTACTGCATACATTTTTATGGATTAGCTGCTATTGTCTTTACTTTAAAGGAGACTGTAATTTCCTGATGACAAGAATCATGAAAACTGTTCTGTGTGAAACCACTTTGGCACCTAGTATTAAGTGGAGCACTTGCTTTAGTAAAAGCAAACCAAGTTCTTCACTTGGGAACATTCAGCTGAAAATGTTTGATCTAGGTGCTAGGTCTAGGGGATATAATTCTGGAACACTGCAAAATTCTGATCGACTGGAGTGTAAGATAATCCACAACACGGTGCGAACTCGTCATTGTCTAAGTACACCATCAAGTTCCCTGTACACGGGACACCAGCCCAAAGATGCTTTTCGATACACCTACACACGTACTTAACTCTGATCGTGTACATCAGAATGCAGTAGGTGGAATCTCAGAAATGGGTTTGCGTTTTCTTTAACACTTGCACAAGTATCTCAGGCGATGCGGAAGCACAGTCTGAGAACCACCAATTCCATGCCAACCTTCTCATGCCACGTGGGAAACCACAGCTCAGAGAGACCCAGGCCTCCCCACCTGACTCAGGGCACAGGCTGGGCTAGAGCTCACTTCCACATGAAGACCAGGCTGGCACCATCCAGAGTTACCACTTTGTCTTACCATATGATGGAGAGAAGTCCTTCAGTGCAGCCTTTCCAGGTAATGCTGTTCTGTCCACAGATTTACTGTATGACCTGCCAGCAGTGGTTTCATTTCTACAATTTTTTTTTGCATGATTGGTCCTTCAACTCATATGCTCTTTTTTAAATTTTATTTTAGAGAGAATAAAACCAAGCAAAATAAAACAGAATGAAGCCAATCATAACAAGCCACTGTGAGTGAGACAGGACTTCAAAAAAGGTACTAGGAAATCAACCATGGTTACCATAATGCCTCATATTGTCTTCAAAATAGCTGCCCATATCTTCGGACATAGCAAAAATCAAACAAAACTGAAGCAGAATAGAACCAATAAAAACAAAACAATGAATGCAATACAGGACTTCCAAACAAGATAATGGTAAACCCAAAATGACTACCATAATATATCTTGTTATCTTCAAAATAGCTGCCCCTGCCATCAGATACAACAAAATAAAACAGAATAAAACCCAACCAAACAAAACAGGAGTTTTGAAACAAGGTAATAGGAAATTAACAATAGCTACCACCTTCAGAAAGAGAGCCCTGTATATGCTATATTGAGTACTGTTATCCTCTGAATAGATGATCAGACTACTTACTGGCTTTAGGTCTGCAAAGTCAGTGAAACACTAAACACTACAAGCATTAAGTTGTATTTTACCTCAATAGCTATCATCACAGCCTGTGTTTCTCCAGACCAGCTGGTTGCTTATGGAGGGGGTTAAGGACAGAGGGTAACACTGGCTCCTCTTGTCCCTGCCCTCATGTCGGAAGGGGCTGGCATCTGGTTCTCCCCCAGTTGATCCACACATGGCGCTGACCCACAGAGGTCTTAGCTTCTTGTAGACATCTTGTTTCCTCCCCTGTAGTCCACAAATGGCACAGGCTCACAGGAGAGGGCTAGTGTCTGGTTGTCCCCCAGTCAGCCCGTGCATGGCCTATTCTTTATGATAATTGACACATTTTCTATTAAATTTGTATACCCTTCCAGATTCACATCCTAGAAAATGATATAATGTGGGTTGCTAAATTGATAGAATTAAATTTTTAAATTTCTCCGTCCCCTTCTGTACTATGTTCAAGGCTAAGATCAGCTGTGTTCAAACTTCCTTAATTCTCCCTGCTCTAAGGCATGAGAGTTTTTATTGCCAAAATCAGCAGTTCTTGGGGGCACCTTGTGCCATGTGTAATGCCACATCAGCAGTTGGCTGAGATCACCATGAGCAAGGATCATGGTTTCCCCTCAATAATGCCTTTCAGCTACCCACGTGCCAAGGGAAGCATTTTATAAATTATCACCTAGAGAGAGCAGCAGGATGAGGGATTGCCCAGAACTGGCTGCTTGATAAATGCTAACTTGGAGTTGAGCGAGTCAGGAAAGAGAGAAAAAGCCAGAGTGGACAAGGGCTTTGCAATTGGTGGTACCTGAAGTGAAGAGTTGAAATCTGAGCACGAAGACATCACTGTTCTTTTTGAAATGCAGTTTGCATTTGTTTTCTAGAATACTTGCTGTTCTACAGAGCAACAGAGATCCAGTCCAAAGGTGAACTTTGGAAACGCTGAATTTCAGAGTGATTGACAGCTGGCTTCTTGACCTCTATCCAGAAGGGATTGGATTTGGAGCAGTGAGGAAGAGAAATTGTTGGAGAATGAGGAGCATAGAGACAAAGAAAGAAAAAACAAAACATGATGTGATCTGGTGTGCAGCTAAGTCTCTAGGTAGGTTGAAATGAGGCCACTGGTCAAGAAGGAAAAAAGTCCAGGCTTCAAAACCTAGGTGGTAAGAAACGGCTTCGGAGGGCAGCTGGTAGAGGGGGGACGAACTGATGAGAATCTGGGTGCAGAGAGGTGCTGAGGGTTTCTACACTGGAGCCTAGGGATGTTAACAAGGCCAGATTCACATGAAACTAGAGCTTAAATTAAAGCTTAAATATAATTCACAATATTTGTTTCAAGAGAATTTGATCAGGATGCAGATAAAAACATGGCTTCTAGCTCGGCAAGCTATGCTAAGCAAACCAGCAGAGGTGCAGAGGTGGGTATTACCTTGAACGCTGGATCCAGCAGAAACACTGAGATTTCCTCACATAACACAAAGAAAATGCCCATCTCCAGAACTTCATTGGCTGCCACAGCCTCCTTTAGGTCCTGAGTTCTGTGGATGTTAGAAAACCTATGTGACTGGGTTCCCAACCTCCAGGTGCCACTCTGCTGGCCAAGCATGGTATCATGCCCCCCAGAATAAGCTCACAGGATTCTCCATTCACACTCCCCACCACACACAATCCTGCCTTGTCAAAGGCAGGACCATATATCCACCGTCAGACAAGCTTCAAAAACGGAGATTATTGACATTAAATAAATTTTAATTACAGCTCCATCCCATGGGGGCCTTTTTCTTGTTTTGACCCCTCACTCTGCCATTTTCTGAATACATGGAAAATGTCCCTCATTTTTCATTCTTTTTCTCCTTTCCCTTCTTTTAGCTTGGTATGTGTTATAAAGTTGATCTATTCTGCTAAGTACAAGGGTCACCCAAACTCAGCAAGGCACTATTTTGTTCATTGGTCAACATGTTAATTCATTTATTTTCAACACAGCTCACTCAGATTTTGCCTGGTGTCTCCAGGATAAAAAAGAGTGAGACCACAAGACCTCAGGAGTTTGTAGTCTACACGGTGTCTTGATTGATACCATTGCTGTTTTGTCCTTTAGCCACTGAGCAGCTCCTGTGTTGGCCGACAAAGACGTAGACTGAGTTAGCACTCAGATTCAATTCTGAATTTGTTCTTGATTATTTCTTTCCTTTTCTGAACCTTTCTAGATCTACCAGAATCTTCCATGATGTTGAAGCTCTGGCCCTCTAGCACCAACCTCCAACTTTTCTACCTCACACCACGGCTTGCTACTTATCTTTCCATCTTCTATTGATTTACCAGAAAAAAAAAAATTCCCTCTCTGCTTCTCACCCGGGATCCTCAAAATGTGGTTCATTCCCTAAAATTATTTCTTTATACTAAAACGAGCACATGCTGCCCTCTCTTACTCCCACATACACACCACTTACAAACTTCAGCTTTGGCCCACCTCTGGGTCTCCAGCGAACTAGGGAAGAAGATCACTGCTAGAGGATGTGAAAAGATAACCATGCCTTTGCTGGGGGTGATGGCGCCATGTTTTTAGCAGAAAATGCTCTGCTAGGAGTGGTGAGTTGTAGGCTGCCAGGGGTAGGAAATGATGAGGTGAGGGAAGTTGGTTCATTAGACTGTGATTATCCATTTGGAGGAGACAAGTCCTCTCAGTGCTAGAGAGGGGTTTGCCTTTCAAGTCACAGGCTGCAGCCCTGCAAAAAGAGACAAAGGCAGGCCAACGTGATGTAAGGCATCAAATCTCTAAGTGATAGGAAAACCCAGAGGACTCTGCTGAGGATGCAGCTGATGGACCTCTTGGGTGCACCTGCCTTCTTCATGACACAAGCAGTGATGGGAAATGGGACAAGAAGCCTTCACTTATGGAAGGCAGCATATCATATGGGCAGCTGTGCCCAATAGACTAAGAGACAGCTAACCAAACTAATAGATTGCTCCCTCCTGTGAGAATTTAAGGGATATAGTAATAATTGAAAAAAGGTGAATTAATTTAAAAAAGTAAGAATGAATATGAAAAGATATTTACCATCATCAGTCATTTGAGAGATGCAAATTAAAACAACACAGATTTTATCTCAGGCCAGAAAGAATGGCTATTATCAGGAAAACAATCAATCACAAATACTGGAAAGGATGTGGGGAAAGAGGAACCCTTCTCCACTGTTGGTGGGAGTGTAGACTGGTGCAACCACTTTGGAAATCAGTATGGAGATATTATGGTTTGTGTTCCGATGCCCCCCAGCCTCATGCAATCATTGACATAGCTGAATCTAGCATTTGTGATTGGCTCATTGTCTAGCACGGGGATTGGTGTCCTGAGTGCTGCACCTCCCCGGGGGCAGAGCCAACACACAACATGAGGGTGGGAAGGAGGCACGTGATTTGTCTCTTTTGCCTCTTTACTCTTGTCATTCGCAGCTGACATGAACAGCTTCCCCTCAGCCATGCCACCCTGCCTTGAAGCTAGCTGAGTACGGACTGAAACATCCAAAATGGTAAGATGAATCAACCTTCCCTTCCCTAATTTGGGGCATTAGGTATTTTGTCTTAGAAATGAGAGACAAATAACTAAGACAGGAGATTCCTTTTAAAAATCTAGGATTAGAGGTCCCATTTGAATCAGCTATTCCCCTTCTAGGTATTTTCCCAGAAGAATTAAAAGCATCATAACACATGATACATGTGCACCTATGCTTATAGCTGCACAATTTTTAAGAATTGTTTTTTGGAACCAGGGATTGAACTCACGACTTTGCTGAGCAAGTGCTTATGCCACTGAGCTAAATCCCCAGCCCACTGCAGCTGCACAATTTGTAATAACTAAATCTTGGAAACAACTCAAATGCCCATCAACTGCAGAATGAATAAAAAAGATGTACAATGGAGTACTACTTAGTCATAAAGATGAATAAACGTAAGACTTTCATAGGTAAATGGGTACAACTTGACACCCAAGTTATAAATGAAATAACTTAGGCAAAATGTACAATAGATATTGTGAAATGGGAAGAAATTGTTCTAGAGGAAAGAAGAACTAGGGTGGGAGAAAAGGGAAAGAAAGGAAGAAGGAAAAAAATACAAGATAGTTATCCTAGTAGTTTCTTTTAGTTCATTGAAAAGAAAGGTTTTGCTGTATCATTTGGAGAATTTATGTCTATATCTCGTACTCTGAGTAACTACTTTGAAGATAACAATATGCAGTGTGTTAACTATTGTTATTCTATTATTTTATGAAATTTCATTTTGCTGTTTGCCATAAAATAAAACAATTTAAAAAAGAATAAAGATGGAGAAGCTGAATCATGACTGTGCTGATGGCCACAGAGGAAAGGCAATGGAGGGCACTGCTGGAAGTGACCAGGTGAGCAGTCACTAAGCTCCTGGGTCATTCATGCGGCCTTTCAGTAAACATTCCCTGAGCAGCTATGCTGTGCCAATCACAGAGCACACACGTGGGTTTTGGTCTCTGTAAAGTGAAATACTACATTATCATTCCAGAAGACTCAGATGGTGTCTCACGTGCCATTTCATGCTCTAGGTGACATTCTCATAGACTGAAGTCACCTACACCACCTGAGTCTGACCTCCACAATTTGAAAGAACCTAATGAAGAAAGGTTTAGACTACTTAGGGCATGTGGAGTTCCAGGGGTGGCAGAAGGAGCCATGGTCCTATTGTCACTCCCTTGCACTATTTGGGCACATTCATCCTTCCCCATGATGTCATAATTGAGTTCAGTTTGCAGCTTGCTTTGATCCACAGGTATTCTTGCACATCATTCAATCGCAGACTTGAGGTGTATTTGCATGGGCGGGCTTGTTTCCTGCACTTCTGTTATCACCAGAAAAATGAGAAATGCAAGAAGCAGTCATCCATAAGCCCAACTCGTGGTCCAGAGCTAAATCCACCTGAGTTCCAGCTTTGGTCACATGCATTCCAGATAACCTTCAGATGTGAGGGCAAGATAGGAATGCTTGCTTTATGAAAGCATTAAATTTCTGAGGTATTTGCTGACGCTGGGAACAATAAGACTCTGAGATATGGCAAACTAAAGGATCTGATACAGGGCTTTTGTGGAGTGGATTGCCTATACTTACGGTGGATGCTAGCTATCTGATAGGCACTTTCATCAATTATCATTCTTGTTTTCACTGATTCAAATGTCAAAGGTTCACCACTGAACCCAGCAGAAGTCAGTTCTGTGACACACTCCGCTTCTAAGGGCTACTGAGTTGCAGATGCACAGATAGGAAGACTCCCATCATCACAGGAGCATCTCCAATATCCACAGAGTGAGCGGCTGGGCTCCCAGCCAGTCACAACCTGCATTTACACAGTGCCCCGTTTGGTCCCACAGAATCCCTGCAATGTGTGTTGTCAACATTTCCGGAAGCAGAGTGGGGTACAGAGACAATAAGGTGTTGCCCAAACCTCCCAAACGGAGAGCGGCAAAACCTGTCTTACACCCAAATCTGACTACCCCAAACTACATTTATCTCTAAAGGGCCTGGGCCAGAATTTCTGTGTCAGGAAAATGAGGGAGAAAGCTTGGAAAACAGCAAAAGAATATAGTCATCAAAGCACCTTTTATTATCCTCACTGGAGGCTTTAGATTATAAAGTTGATGGTACCTTTTTCCTCTAAAACTAAGTATAAAGTCTCACATATTTCAAGATCTTTGAGTTCTTCTTTTCCCCCACAGAATAGGATGAATCACCCCCTTAATTTCTTTTTGCTACAATAGAGATGTCTTTTAACTCCCCCTCCTTCTTATTCCAAAAAAGTTCTCCTTGACATTAGAGTTCCCGGGGCACTTCTGTGTGTCCTACAGAAGTAAAAGAACATTAGGATTAAAGGGCTCATATCTTATTTCTGTAAGGACTCCTCTTCAAACTTATGAGAAGTACAGCAAATAATACCACTTACTGACCTTATTCAACAGGAACAGGTTCCAAATTTGATGTTCCCAGAATCCGTAATTACTGCCTCAATGCGTGGTACCTTCCCATCACGCAGACAGGCAGAGCACACAGTGAAGACACTGGTGCTCTAGTTATCAGAGCAGAATAGGAGGAGGAAAGGGCAGATGCTGGAGGTTGTGACAATTGCAGTCTAAGCCTCCAGGTAAAAGCAGTGATTATAACATTAGCTAATAGTTCCTGGAGCACATGGTATGTTCCAGGCTCTGGGTGACGAGCTCCATACATCAATAGGATAGCAGAGTTCTTAAAAAGAGGAGATTCCAGGTAATTGTCTAGGTTTATATCTCAGCTTGATTCCATATTAGTTGTGCAACCATCAGCAGGTTATTTATCTTCTTGGGACCTCATTTTTTCATCTACAAATGGAAGCCATACTTGAACCAAACTCAAAGAATTATTAGAAATAGTTGACCTAAGAGGTGTGCTTAAAGCAGTAACAGGCAGAGAGAGAACTGACCATAAACATGGCTATCAGTGTCCAAGTAAATCCTTGTTATAAATCTTGAGGAAGTGCTGTTATTATTCTTGTCATATAGCTAGGAAAAATGAGGTTCTGAGAAGCTCAAAGTCTCACTCAGGTAATAAGTATTAGAGCCAAAATTTAACTTACAGCCATTAGTTTCTGATGTACATCCCAAGTAGATTAAAATAAACAAATCAACTTCCGACAGCATAAACAATTCCCAGTGTGAAATTACTAGTAAACTGTATCTAAGACCTGCAAAGTTCTCTGAATTTTTCTTATTAAAGCAATGTAGTTGGAAAACCAGATTGGCCAATAGAATTGTAGGGGAAGAATTTGTTATAGTTGAATCTAAGTTCTCAATGCTTCCTTTTTGAGATCCATATTTAGAACATGTGGGCATTTCCCCCCTCTTCCCACATTATTTAGATATTCTTCCATGTTTGGGAATCTGATGTGACAGGCCCTCAGATGGATGGTGAGTCCATACAAATCTCTGATATGGGAGGTCGTGTGACTGCCCTTTCCTGTTTGTCACGATGGCAAGAATTCCTTTGTTTGTACAGCAGAGTGTCCCAGCTACTCACCATGAGATATCTGTGGGAAAAGTTCTCTTTACATCAAACTAATTCTGCTTTGTGGTAGCCTCTACCAATGGTTCCTCTTGGAGGAAGCTCACTGAACAAGTCCACCCCCTGATCACGTCAGCATCAAGAGCTGACAGGAGACTGGGGCAGAATATTTTAGAGACACACCAAAGTGAGCACATGTGTTTGTACTGCTACATGTTCAATTTTTCTCTGCGTGTGTGTCTCTCATGAATGTTCCTCTGCTGAGCTGTTCCCAAATCTCTAGTCAACTAATTGTCAATTTATGTCAAGCATGACATCATCTCACAGTAGTCCTGTCTCACAGATCCCTTTATTGTTTCTAAAACATCTCATTTGCCTCCCACTTTCTTCTGTTGGTGCCAGGAAGTTTGCATTGTCTGATTTCTTTCTTACCGGGAATCATAAATTCTCTGCGTCTTCTTGTAACTCAAGACAAGTGGGTGTCATCATCAGTTTTTGACACTTCAGCCCTCCAACTCAGACATGTAACATGTTAATCTAGATCCCCTGCAAAGCAGACACAGATGGGGTTGAAGAACAATGATTCCTTTTAACTAGGGTAAACACCTGAGTGGAAGAAAATCAAGCAGAAGCTGAAGGAAATTGAGAAAAACATTGAACCAACATACAAGTCTGACCCAGGGTAAAGTATGGGGGTAAATAAGGCTAGGTAGCCAGCCTTTGGACTGCCCTGGAGTCTAGGCAGGTCCTACGAAAAGATAGGCGAACCCTAGGCCTAAAATCAACTGTTGGGTGAGTTCTAATATTCCCAGAGCAGACCTGCCTTGGTGTCCCTGCTTTGCTGTCACTGATGATAGCAGCTAATAAGTAGCCTGACATCATTCTGAACACTGCTGTGGACTTTTTGGTGTGAGACCTGGGCCCTCAGTCATTCATCCTTGCTGTACATGGGAATCTATGAAGCATATTCTCCTAAATGCTACTCTTGGAAATGTGACAGCCACTGTTGAAAGGAGCACCCTTTTCCTTGGGTTGATGGAGAAGTCCACCCAGGCTTTTTAAATGTAGTTTGCTCACTGAAAGTTGACAGAAAGAGTGTTTCTTTTTTGATACACATGGGAAGACCTGGGAGAACTTGGGCTATTCATAGATTGAACGTCACCAGGAGAAAGACCTGTTATGGGATTCTGAAGCATTGGCAGGAGTAGATGACTTGTAATTCACTGGAGGTCTTAAACCACAGTACGATTGAGACAGGGCTGACGATCAGAAAAAAAAGTCTGCAAAGAGTTGATAGTTGAAGCCACCGAGATTCAGCTGATTGTCCAAAAAACTGATGGATAGGAAAGTAGTTCCAATAGGTAAGCAAAATCACGGCCTCCTCAAAAAGATATTAGTTGTAATTCCTGCAATTTGTGACTATGTAGGATTACATGGTTACACAATTAAGTTGTATATAAACTCAAGGCTGCTAACCA